AATGCAAAAAATCCTGCAGATCGCCGGCGACCCGCCCGAAAAAATTTCATTCGCAGCATTCATCCAGACGCATATACCACCGGCGGGTCCTCTTCGCCCGCACCGGTCGCAGTCCCGCTGCATATTTGCGAACAATAAATCGCCCCGGAGATGCGAAAAAAGCGCCGCGGGTCCGTTACACTTTCAGCTTCAATTAATGTTTTGTTTTCCCGAAAGTATTCGCCACCCGAAAAGTGAATGGTCAACTATAAATCTGTTCCCGGGAGTTTCAAAACAAACCAAAACAACAATGGCCCGTATGAGTGACACAAATAACCTTTCCGAAGACGGAAAGGGACGCGGATAGAGAGAACTGTCGCAGTGGCGGAACTTAAATTAGATGAGATAAAACGTACGTAATTGTCCTGTTTATACATGACAAGATAAGACGTTAGAATTATAAGCTTTCTAGCTCTAATTTGCTTAATGTTAATTTAAGGACATTTCTATATACTTTATCTAATTAGGTAGGTTATAAATAAGTATTTGAAATTGATTAGCTTCACTTTATCTCTCTATAATATACTTGTAAAATAACAAGATTTTTTTGTAGCTTTTCACTATAATCTTTATGCTGGATTATAACTAATCATTTATTTTCAATATTGCAAATTCGATCGTTATTGGGAATTATAAAGAGCACGCTCATGCGATATTAGATGTCCATGCTCATCTAAGAGCCCAGTCTAAGTGATTTATGCCATACGGTCCTTAAAGAAAAGCCCAAGAAACCACTTTTTGTTCGTATATTCGAAAGTGTCATGCCATAAATCGTAGGCGCACAAAGGGGGCACACCAACCACTATTGAGTCTTAGTTCTTCTCGTTCCTTCTTTTTCGCCTCTCCGTCCGTCCTATCGCCGCTCGACCGACGAGAATTCAATGGATGTCGATGCAAATCATTGGCAATTCAAATAAGGTACACTAATGCCTTATTATTTCGCGTCGGTTCGGAAAGCGATCGCGCTATCGTTAATCTTAATAATATCGAAGAAATTATATTACTGTAGCTTTCGTCTCGCGTCTTTTTGGAATACCTATGTCGAGTATATTAGGAATATTAGACTAAAAGTAGGGAGAAAATTGAGTATAGTGAATTTTTGTTAATTATATCCGGTGGCTCTCTTTATGCACAAAGCGCTAAACTTTATGACTGACCATAAAAATACTAAACAAATTTCATTATCCAAAGAGACTTTTAAAACTGTTTGTTAACTAATTGCTTTTGTGATTACTTGCTTAAATAGACAAAGTTTCTGCCGTACAAAATTAACTTCCATCATTGGCATACGACAATATTTTCAACAGCCTTTTATAAATAGTCCCGCATAGGATAAAAAAAAGTGGATGCACGCTTCCGTCGCCCGGCCCATCGGAGCCGTCGTCGGCCGTCAGCTCGTGACAGGGACGCTCCGAAGACGTCGGCGTCGCGACGCCCGCGTCGCCGTCGGTAAGCCGACAATGCGATCGCTTGTTCGCGTCAAAGGCGACTACGCCGTGAAAGATTTATTCGGTTTTTCGGCGTCATTTTTTCACCGCGAAACGACGGACGATGATCGGCGGTGACGGACGTCGTGGGAGATTTTCGACGGGCTTTGATGTCCCGGATTGTTTGCAAACCCGCCGACATCGGCTCTGACTATACGGTGCACGCGTTCAGCCACTTGCGCTTTGGATTATATTAAATTGGTTTCTCGTCTAATACTTGGTCCACTTTGACTGTTAAGAACTCCTCAATTACAAGATTATATTCGAGCGTGTAAACATTTAATATTCCCTATATTTGTTTGTAGTTACCGGCGGTGGTAGATTTGGTAAGGGGCTTTATAAGATGCGTTCGATGATAGATAACCAAAAAATGACAAAACATAACATTGGTGACATTTCGTTTGACAGAAGTTTAATAGAGGTGGGAATCGTTTTTATGGTGTAGAGGTGCAGTAACGACTATTACAAAATAGGCGTTATTTTTCAAATATCGTTCCCCTCATTATTCTACTCTACTCTAGCATAGCTACCGTATACAATAATAATTTGTTCGTTGTAATTTGTTCAAAGTTTGGAGCAATGAACTCAAACAACCCCCTTTTCTACTTGAAATATTCCTAGTAGAGAGTAGATGATTGAAGAGTAGAGAGAGATTATAGAGTAAATAGTAGAAAATACTTTGATGTATCTAAATAGAAATTCTGCATTAAAATAATCTTTTTCCACGCCAAGTTTACCTATATGATTAAAATCTATATAGTCCCTTTGGCGCCCAATTTACAAGTCAATTTACAATTCTATATCAATCAAACAACTTGTATATACAATAAAATAAATAAAATAGTACTCGAGGACGCGAAATTCTTCCTCTATTAGGTTAGGTAAATGAAAATCGTTCTTTTTTTCAGCGCGGCAGGAAGAGCGTATAAAAATAAGGGAACAAAAGGGTGCGAAATTCTCTTAGCGTCAAATTGAAATAGTGGCACATCCCTCATTCCTGCGCGTCGAGCCGGCTCGAAAATAAGGGTGAAATACGTTTGAATAGGCGTGTTACATAGCGGTCCGTATTACTTCATCAAATATTAAAAAGTTAAGAGCTTGTCTTGTCCGTGTCAAAGAAAATTTATATTTATAACTGCGCGCCGAATGCGGGGCCGTCCATTATTCACTAACTGCCTCTTCGGAAAACGTGGATCGGCATTTTTCTCTCATATTTGGGTCATAAAGCGGATCGCGGAAGAAAGGCAGATATAGGAAAGTTATATTTACATGCGAGAGTCTAGCGCGTTCTTGGTATTTGCTCTGTACCTATAAGGTGAATATTTATCGCTTTTAATACTTGCAACATTTGCAATACTTTTTTGTCGACGACTAATTCTTGAATGATTTACGGAGGTACTCGAAGTTATCACGGAAAAAAATCAACGCACCGGCATCGGGGAATTTGCCTTCTTTAATGCCGCAATAAATGCGGAATAATCCAGTTCCTTATTACCTTTTTTAAAAAGCAGATTAATCTATATTAAGTCGGTATTGTTGAAACGATGTGTCACCTGCTCGGCTAAGGGCATCGCGCATAAATCATGGGTTTTGTTGGGCGTTCGTTCTCCTTTCAAATGGTAATCCATTTTAGAGTGTACCATCATCGTGACTATGGGAAAGTATTTCTGACTTTTTACGGCGTTTCTTTTTAATTCCTCCCAAATTTTGCGGTTACCAAAAATTACACGTAAAATGCATTGTTGAAATATCTCTTTGTATCGACCCAAAAAAAACACTTAAAGATCGCACGTTAATCTTTACTTATTGTTGTATAAAATGCCGTTGAAATTGGATCTAAACATGGATTGAAAAGGATATCCACCTATATCATTATTAATTAATTATGTTGTAATATAATCTATCATACTATTAAATATGTATTAAATCGTGTATGCCTTGAGGAAGAAATTGCATAAAACAATTTTCTGCGCTATATATTATTGTCTACGTAATGTTAAAATAAACATATTTTTGCAATAACCAGCATTTACAGAACTGCTATTTTTAACATCGTAATTGCTTCTTTGAAGTTTTAATTAAAAAACCTCGACTCGATTTTGAAGAAACCTAGAGCCAGCGAGCAATTCGACAAAGGAGCCCCTTAAAAATTTCTTCCCGTTATATTTTCGTCTCTCCCAACCTGCCGGGCATATTTATCTGTCCGCCCCAAATCAAAAATCAACATATTTCAATCCGCAGTCGCTCTATTATTAACGCTACGAAAACATTTAACAGAAACGACACGAGGTAGAGATCCTACAAATAGGATTCGTTTCTAATAAATTTTTCCGCTCTGACCATTATTTCTGGGAAACAGAAGTTCCTATGACATGTTTTGAGCGGCTCATAACGAATGGTGGATTTGGAACAGTTTTTAGAGTGTTATATTTATTATTTAGGCTGATGCCTCAATAATTAGAGTTTTGCAGTATGTATCTACAAATGAGTTTTATTATTTTCTAATTTTAGTGAGTCTTTCGCAAAAAAATTCGTTCATTCAAAAAAGTGATAGTTACTTAGGTAGGTATAGTTTTTCTAATGTTAGTTGAATATGATATAATAATTAGGTACTATTTTAGACTGAAAATGAGTACCTATAGTTATACTTAAATGTCTGGCTGAAAATCCAGTCTGTACCTAGTTATTTCTTAATACTGGTATATGTATATAGGTATAGTTTTTATAAAGTTAATATAGTTTATAAAGTTTTATAGGTTTTACAGGTTTATAAAGTATAATAAAAATTACTTTTGTAGAACTATTAATTAGTGTGTATACTTTTGAAGTATAAATTCTGCATAACTTAGCTATGGATTAGCTATGGATTAAACCTAGCTAATGGATAGCTAGGTTTAATTGATATATTCTGATGTGAGCATCTTTGTAATTAATGACTCTGGAGTAAAAATATAATAAGTAAAAAATGTATACCTACCTATCTTGCACATTATGAATACTGGAAAATTTAGTGGAAATGAGTAAAGTTATACTTAAAAATGATGTAGCTGAAAATCTTGTTTATACTTCCAAAGTTATAGTTGAATAAAGAATACTTTCATAAAACTGATGTTTAATAATGCATAGGTTTTTCGAAATATAAATACTTAATCAACTAATCTATGAATCCGATTTAATTGATACTCCCCGAGCACATTGAATCGACTTCCGAACGACTATATAAGATAAGTAAAAGTAGCGGACATTTTTATGTACGCCGGAAAACTCCGTGGAAAAAGGAATAAATCGCCGGTGGAGCGACGAGCGCCGTTCGTGCTCGATCGTGTCGACTCGTGAGTTTTCCGGTAGTGCATCGCCGCGCCGCCAGAGTGCGCGCGCCGATCCGTCGACCGTCCGCCATTGGCGGGTGGGCGTGTTCCCGCTGACACATCATTCATTCAAACCCCACTCTGCCGTCCCCGGCTCGTGATTGACAGTTGGCAGACGACTACGGTCCGCGGCGCACCTCGTTACGTGCTCCGGAACATCAAGACACCTCACGAATTTTGACGAATGACGAGTCTGTTGGCCAGCGCGCGAAAGAAAATTCCGACAGTGTGATACGGTGTTGTTGTGGTATCGAAAAAATTATATTATCGAAAATCGGGAAGTGCTGGATGAAGTTGCCGATGCGGATGATTTCAGTGCGAAGTGCGCGGGAAGTGTAGGGATCGATCCCCCTGCCAGTATATGGCTCAGCCCAGGGTACGAAAATCCTGCCTAAATGCGGCCCAAATCCGCGGAAAGCACCAGGAGACGGGCGTAGAGGAACGCCGGCGTGGAAATGACGGTTCATTGACAGCTGGCCATCGATCATGGCGGGCGGGATGGGTAGCGGGGTGGCGCGTTTTGTTGTTATCATCAATCATTCCACAATCGGTGGAACTTCTAATGACAACTCTGACCCAATGTCTGCGATTCTAACACGCCTTTTTTTCACTCTCAATTCATACTCCACTCTTCATACAAAATGCTCTTATCTTATAAGATACTCCAAATATTCTAAATACAATCATATTCAACTGGAAGTACTACTTGTAATTGTCTAAAACATTCACCAAAGGGATTTAAGTTGAACTCGATAATACCCATTATTATTATTTATATGCAAATTATAATCAACATTTAAAAAAGACACACTGGAACATCTAACATCCTTTACTGACGACAAGTTATTAATTTTATACCAGCGATCATAAACTTCTAGATTAAAAATAACTGTCATCATTTTTTAATCCTACAGTAATTAAATTTGAAAAAAAATCTCAAATATTCTAATCAAGATTCAACGATCTTATATAACAAATTTTAACACTCCTATAAAATTATAATTATTATAACCAACATATTAAAATCCCGCTATAATTCATATAATATTAAAGAAAATCCCGTCATGATTATTCCGTATAAACAGGCGGTATTTTCCAAAAAAAAATCGGTACCAACGACGCGTACAAACGGCGAGTTATAGTACCCGAAGCGCGATTAGTAAAACCGAGGAATAGCCGAGCGAACGCATCAAAATGCGGTCGCGGAAAGCATACAAATTTGTTGCGGGAAATTCGGTGGGAATTCGCGGCGAGCGACGGGCGTCTTTTTCGAAAAGCGCAAACGAAATTCGCTCCCGAGAGCCGAAATCGTCCAACGGCAAATCGGAATTCTACCTGACTTTGCTACCAACAAAAGCCCTTTTACGTGGATAAATGCGTTTCGTGTTCCTTACCTGGCGGTACATTCGTTGGACTTTTTCCTACACGCTGTATCGATATTTCTAATAGGTTTCAATGTAATTCGATTAGAATTAATGACCGTCGACATTCGATAATGCTAAACAGTTAGTTCGAATTTAGCAATAATATTTTCCTGTGTTATCCACAATTTGTGGTTTGTTAACCACAATTGAAATTTACCCAAATTTCCAATAATTCCAACGAATCTAAAAAAAATCTAATCTCCCACATTATAATCTATAATCTATTAATATACGAATTTAAATATCATGAAATAGATATTGGCAATATCGCTTTCCTTACGCCTTTTTCGAGTAAATAAAGCATATCGGTGTTGATTTCTATTATACAAGGCAGTAAAACTTTAACGGCGGGCTTAAAATCAGTTATATAGTTTTCCTTCATATTAAATTCAACAATAATCACTATAAAAAAGGTTATTAAAATTAAAAGTGGAATGCATTGAAATTTTAGAATATGCTATAAAATATTTATCCAAGTGCTACTTAATTTTAATCGCATTATTATCATCTAATGGGGATCGTTAGAGGAAAAAAAATAACAGTTTATAGTGTAATACCTATTTAATTCTCGAAGAAGAGAAAAAATTATTCTGCGGAAAGGGAGGTTTTTAATGGAAGCTAAATCGGATATACATACTAATACGGATATACTCATCAAGGAAGTGTTGTGAATTTATATGAGGAAATATCTAGTGAGTGATTGTAATTATTAAGTTCTTGTACGAAAAGAACGAGTAAGTAATAGAAATAATTTAACATTCCTGCGGTACATCGATCGGACTAAAAACCGTAAAGTTTATACAATTTTCGTCGCGTTCGGGCCAGAATCCGTCGGATTTAGTTATTCCTTACCTGACATATAGGGGCTTTGAAAAATACATTCGTGCCATCCAAAACTCGCAAAAACAATTAACTAGAAACTGGTTTCCAACTAGCAAAGTGTGAATGGATGAACTATTGCCTTTAAAACGTTTCAACAAAAATTCGCAATCTCGATTATTCCGAAAACTAATGTTTCTACGGGCGATTAACCGTAAAAAATATTTTAAATTTATTATACTGTCTAATAATATCTGGAGGAATTGTTTGTAAAAAAATTGTGGAACGATTTTCTTACATTGCTAAATATTTTGGATAATTCGATTTTTTTTGCTATTCAACACGGTCATTTTTAACCGTTAAACTTCAATTGAAAGTTCCTAAATAATTATACCTCAGTGAAGAATATAATAAATTCTGTTTCTAACTTCTTGTGTAAGGATACCTACATAAATTTATTCCATTCAATCGAACCCCTTTTGATAAATTTCTCCTGTGAAATCTACCCTGAGATTATTTCTGTTTGTACTATACCTAACATTTTTTATAAAATATTTACGTTTGTTCTCAAAATCTTCATCACCTACCTAGCAATAAATTGAAAAATAAAATTCGATTGAAACGAAATTTCCACATCAATTCGACCGTGTTTCTAGTGGCACAAAATCGGGCGACTTCCAATCAAGCCCCAGTACATTTTTAATTCCTTTTAATTATCAAAAAATTCCACGGTCCGAGTTCCCAGAAAAGTGCCATTCTTCTTTTTTTCGCCAACAAACGACTCGATGCTCGCTTTTTTACCAGAAGACCAAGCGCTGGACATCTCGGCAAGCGACGGCCGGCGATCAAAGATCAAGTTGGCCTCGACAACTTCTTTGTAGACTGAAATTCTTCACGGCATTCTTCGATGATAAGCCAGAATCACGGTGACTGGGGTTTTTTCGCCGACTAGCTTTCACATAAGTGCTGGATCATCGGTTTTAAGAGAAAAATTTCGAGAGGGTACGGTGCTAAACCGTAATTATCCCCGCTGTGGAGTTCGATTTTTAATTGTGGCTATCCACTTAAGGTTTTATCATTCCTTCCATTAGCTAATACGCACATTCGAGTGTTATAGGCTTTTAAAAAAATACATACCAGACGTTTATATATACCTATTTTTTTGCTCCTCTGACCACGTTATGTCATATTATAGTGATTGTCTATTCCAATATTCTGTTGTCCAATATCTACTTTGCTATAATCATTTTTCTTCTATTCTAATCTTTAATGTTACTATAATCGTAAAGACAATCGTTAGCTACAATTTCTATTTCAAAATCTCTTCAAAATATTGCAATATTGTTTGTTATAGGTATACACTTTGCTACATTTCCCTAAGTATGACAATATATTTGCAAAACCTTTCTTCAAAATAATTAAGTATCTTCCCAATACTTTAATGAAACTAATAAAATATTTTAAACAATTTTATATATTATCATACATGAATATTGAGATATTATTGGTTTTGAGACGAAGTTAAATTTATGTTAGCTAGTAAAGCATAAATATTAATCGCCAGATATGTTAATCCAAAAATTCTCACATTGTTTATAATAACATTGTTTATTAGAAGCGCTTTTGGAAAAATTTGGAATGCGATTAAGCGAAGAAAATAGTGCAAATTATGCGAAAATTTTGACCGGCTCGATTTTATGGTAATTCCACCGGCTATGGAATTGAATTTATTAAATATCTATATGAATATATGTTATTGTTGGTGGGTGGCTATATTAAATTCGTTTTTCGTCGTTTTATGGCGGGTTTCATCGAAAACAACTCGTATTTATTGCAGAAAAAGATGATTTAACGGCGATGGGAATTTTCGGCGGTGTTATTAATCGAGTCTGCTAATATAATTGCGTCTGCGAAAGATGTCCTTTCGGATTTAATCCCGTCGAATTTATTACGTCTCGCTGGGTTTAGTAAAATTAGCGGTATTTTTTTAATAATAAATTACCGAATAAAATAGTTTTCTTTGTGCTCGGTGGAAGCGAAACGGCGAACAAAATCGCTGTATTCAAATTCCGATTAGATTTCCGTCGAACAGTTTTCCTTTAGGGCCTTTTCGGGCTATTATAAGATGGGGTCCGTCGGCTCACGAATACACTTTTCCCACTTTCGCCGGTTTTCCTGCACTTTACACGAGTTTTCCGCTTGTTTTCCGCATCCGATTTTACTTTTGGAGATTCGGGAATGGAGCGCATTTCGGGGAAAATGGCTTCCTGTAACAATTCGGTTTTCGGATTTTTATTCGGCGGGAATTCCACCGGATTTACGGATTTATATCCCGGATTTTTTGAACGAAAATTATTACATATCGATTAGAAAATTATTAATATTATCGTAGACTGCACAAATGCTGTAATAAACGCCAGTTGAGAATTTTCGAAATTACTATCACCGCTTGTAAATGTTATCTTTTATACAATTTTTATTGTCCAATTGATTTAAGCTCATTAAATCGCCATAAAAGCCGTTTAACGGAAATTTTCATAAACAAATTTATCAACTACATTTAAAAATCAAATTAAATCGTTAATGTAATTTCACATTAGAATTGAGGTTAAGCCGAAGTTATATAAATAAATGATATGATATTATTTTACTAATTGGCGAATGTTTGTGGAACTAGTATTAAATATTTTTTTGTTCTTAATTGAGGAAAGAAGTCGGCAGAAGTACCTATGGCATTTTTAATAATTTATCTACTCCAAATATCTTATATCTATTATTTTTAATTATTTCATAGATTATAGTTTACTTTATCTTTCTTTAAATACTTCTGCAGGTGCATATAAGATTTTTGCATGACCCGGAATTGATTTTTGCCTCCAATATTCCACATAATCATTTTCTATTAGAAATTTCACTTGCGGAATAATTTCTATACCATTAACTGTACAATTTGTATCTCTTACGCATTTCTCACAATTAATATCACCAGCAATAATCCTGATTTCTGCATTCCTTCGATCTTAATATGGTATTACAAATATTTTGTTTCACTCCAATAATTATTTGCTACAGAATTCCTCGAAGGATCTTTCACTCCTAAAACGAATAAAAATCAATCGAGTAAATGTAGCAATTTCTGCAAAAAAATCATTAAATCGAAAACAGCTGGAATATTAGCACTACTTACTAGATAAAGGTTATTCTCAATTTTAGTGACTCTAAATCAGAAGACTTGTTGGAGTGAAATGACTTGTCATAAAATTTCATGGTATATACTAAACACAGTATGTGTGTGTGTTATACGGTCTACGTTTTTATATCCCACTCCCCGAAATGATTTTCAAACGTTCCTTTAAACGTCTGTGCAGCTGTAAAAAATTTTTATTGCTCGTCCAATTTGAATTTTGATTTCGCCGGAAAAGCCAGAACTGAAAATGGAAATTTACCACTAAAGTTTATAATTGACACTTCGCCGAGATTAATTCGAAACGCACCTTTTATTTTAGCGGATTTAAAAATAATCTCGGTGGAAAGTTATTTCTAACAATAAATATTCCTGTTAACAGGTAGATATTAAATTTGAGAGTTGTCCAAAAATAATTGGGCGCTCCCTCGTAAATTTGCCGGGAATAGTTAGTTTAATAATGTTTTCAATTATTCTCAAACGAACGAAAAAATTGATCAATTATAAAGGTAATAAATGATGTAATTTTATTTTCTAGAAGCTGCGTTTATTCGAACGTACAATAATATTAAATTTAAGCTATAGTTTAAACCTTTTATCGTTGAGATTAGATGTGTAATTCTAAAATTAACTACTGTAATTATTTTGAGTGTTTGTAATTGAAGATATTACCTAATTGAAATTTGAAACGGATTATTATTTAAAATCAATTCGAAATTTCTAGATTTTTGCACTAATTGCTGAAAATCGAACAATATAGATATATGTTTTCAAAAAGAAACAATTTGTAAACAATATCTAATATTACAGATATAGAAAGATAAATTTTTTTCTATCTAATCTTCCTCATATTATCTAACTTAAACCTAATCCAAATATCATCAGACCAGATCGCTGATAACGTATCCATCTTTCCACAAGACTTATAGAATTTAATAAATGCACCTGAATTCACCGATAATTCTCAAAGTTCGATGGCGTTTCGTTTGTGCTGCTAGAACAAAAATTTATTAGCCGATTATTGGGCATATTAATTTTCCTATTCCGCCCTAATTACCCGTGAAACGGCGAAAATCGCATTATTTTTAGACCGAAGTCGAGCTTTCGCTGAAACCTAGCCAAATAAAAAAAAATATATTCGTACCCACGACAAAACAAACCGAGGAATTTTCTATTTTACGAAATTAGAAAACTATTTAGTCTATCATGAGTGTAATAATACGCTATACACATTTACATTTTTTTTATTCGACACGTAAATTATTTTGAATTTTTTTAAAAAGGGAATTGTTAAATTCGATGTAGCTATATGAAGAGTATGGGTATCGAGTTCGTACTTAAACAATAATTGAAAAAAATAAAAATAAAAATACCTATAGGTTGTTCTCTCCCTTTATAATCTTTGTACCTTATACAAACCGCGTAAATGTGATCAAAGGGATCGAAATGACACAATAAGTCTAAACTAGGCACCCTTTTGGCCTTAGGGTGAAAGATTTATTTCATTTTCAATGCGCGCTCGCTATCGGCAGATGTTTGTATGACCCTTCAATTTTTTGGTGTGAATACGTTTTAATGTTTATCAACGAAATAATTTCGATAGGCGACACTTCAGGAACGCGTATATTGGCAGCCGATTCCGAATAAATGCTCCGGTTCGGTTTTATTTTCTACGTTCGCGGAGCATCTGCTTCGTAAAAAAGAAAAGTCGAATCTGATAAGGCGCCGTAAAACTTCAGAGAGTGGTAAAACTTATTTCGCACAAGAACCGGAGACTTCATTTTATTGCGGCTAAATAAAATATTATTGACGTCCGGAATTTCGAAAAGAACACAGTAATTGAATCGTTTCGGTGTAAATTGAATTAGGAAAACCGAATTTCCGCACCTATAGTGATAAAATCTACTTATCAGCTTTCGCCTATAAAATTTCCAATTGCAATCATATAAAGTTTATTTCCTATTTTCTTCTTTAATTGTTATATTTTGTTAGTCCATGTATGTGTCCCATAACAGCGAAGTTTGTCATTAGAAGTTGCATTAAATTTGTGGTGTTATTTATATAAAAATGAATGGATTGTTGGCCAGTTGCAACGTTTTTGATTGTGTATGTGATTTAGTGATAATTCAGTGATCTGCGCGGTGAAATCCTCTACAGTGACGTTTCCTGGTGTTTTTTAAATTGGATATTAGCCGCCCATACATTTAATAGCGCTATCATTTTTTTAGGTGTAACTTTTATAATTAAGGCTGATTCGTGTTCAAAATTCCAGTCATGGATGTGCTTCAAAAAAATGTAATTATAATCTCTGTTTTTATTACGTAAATTTATTTTTACATTTGCAACGTTTATTTACCCAATTAAATTTAATTCGTAGTTACTGTTTAATGATTTTGATTGGGAAGTTCATAAACTCGGTATTTGTTTAATTCGGTTTTTTTTAATAATTATATTTTTTTATTGAAAAATTATATGCATGTTTGGGCAATATATTATTTGCATGCTAGATGCCTAATAAATTACAAATTTGAAACCACTTTTCAAATTCGAATGATCTTCTATAGAAACAAAGATCGATTAATATTCGCTTACGTAAAGAAAAATAAAACAACTCTTTTACCAATCCAAATTATCGAAAATTTACATAAAAATTTCATTTATTCCTACTTTCAATATGTTAAGAATTTTTTTCTAATCTCATAATCTAATGAGAGCCGAAATATTCAAACAATTTTTTATCGTATAAAATTTGAATCTTATTAGTACAACAATTCCCAGAACGGATTTGAATAAAAAAAGTGAAATTGTCGATTATTTTTTTCAACTATTATGTATCGATTATTTAATTTTATATAAATAGTTGATATAAGAATGAGCGTGGAGAAAATCCATGGATAAAATCGAATAATGCTGTAATTTTAAAAAGCGCAATCGATATAATAACTTTATGGTGTTAATATTATTAATTACCTAATTTACTAATGACAATAAATCACTTTTTTTAATGAGATTTATACCGCTTTTATTTATTCACAATTTAAATAGGTGCATGATAATTAATAATAATTATAATAAAGCGACAATAAATCATTTTTCTTCTCTGATGAATTTCTTTTTTGAAAAAGCAATTACATACAGGGTGCTCGCTTGTATTGTTTCATTGTGGAATTATAATTGGATTAATTTATTTCTTTTGAGAAATTTTGAAATCTCTCGTTGCGGATGAAGATTTTTTATGTGAATTTTTTCATGACAACTTTAGTTTCTCCTCAATAGAAAATTTTATTTTTTTAATTCGCTGTTTGAATCGAAAAAAAATATTATAAACGAGTCGAGGTACCTCGTATAAATACCCCATGGTGAGCGACAAGCGTCACATTTTAAATAAATTTGAATATCAACTTTAATCGATTTGCATATCTAAACGAATATACCTAGCACGAAAATTTCCAAAAATAATTCCGGCGCGGGAATATTAGTAGGTAGGTATATCGAAATAAAAGTTAATTGCTAGTCCTTTAACGGCTAATTATGAATAATTTAAAGAAAGGAAATATGCAAAACGCGACTTTATCAGTTATTAATTTTGAATATAAATGTTTGTATCCCTCACATACTTACCCAGTAAAATTCGACTAATGAATGAAACGAAGGTTACCAGGAAAACGAGGAAAATCCGTTTTTTTTTTTTAATGAAATCCATCAGTAATGCAAATTCCGAATATTGTATGGATAACAAACCGATCGACAGCCCGAGTTCATATTTAAACTAATTGATTTGCATTTTATTGTTTCATAAACTAATTTGCGAACAGTAAAACAAATTATACAGACATAAAATTTAAGAGAGTTACTGTTTCGGATTTGCCACGCTTTAGTTGTCATGAATATGCATAAATAACCATCGAACGGGAGAGAAAAAAATCGCCAAGACTACCGAGTTACTCTCTTTCCGAGCTAAGAGCTTTTTTATTAACCCACGTAATTGGGAAACTGCAAGGACGTTACGATTTTAATTAAACCATCAGCTTTTTATTAGACATGCACGCGCAATTTGCGCTCGAATATCGTCCCGATATATATATATTTTAATAGCCGCCTTTCTTTTGCCTTTCCAGTACGACGATGGTATCCATCCGGGGTACATGGACGGCGCGACCGGGGGCATGTACGAGCCGCACGTGGCCCACCGACCCAGCTTACCAGGCCTCCACCACTCACCTCACTTGAACCACGCCATGCACCCCTATCACTCCAACCACGTCAACCCCACGGCCAACCACGTCATGGGCGGAGCCGTTCCCGACGTCGGCAAGAGAGATAAGGACGCTATTTACGGGTAAGACCGCCACTCTCACCTGATCTGGTGCCCATCGACCCGCGACGTCCCGTGTGATTGAAATCATCGACAGATGCGATCCTGTATCCTAATTTGTGTAGAGCTTGAATCAGGTGAAGAAACCGAGGTGGGACATTAGTATAAAAAAGCTCATTATATCTGTTACTGTAGATAATTTCATTGTAAAAATTGTAGATACTTTTATACACTACTCTATACTCTCTCGGTTTCTTTACCTGTTTTAAGATCAACATGCACAAATTAGGATGCAGGGCCGCAAAAGTCCCAGGGTTGCGACCCTTCGTTAGGGCATTTTTCCGCGGCCATCTGCGTGCATCCACAGACTAATAAAAGAGCATCGTCACAAACAAGCGAAGTGCGGCGGTCGCGGAGCTATCGAGATAGCTGTGACCCGTAAATTATCTACAGAATGGCACGTCATAAAATATCGAATGCGGCCATTTGATAGGCACTTTCATTCATGAACCGCGTTGTAAATTTGTATATTTTGATTTATTTCCTGGTGCGGTAGATGAGATGAGTACGATAATTCCCGGTAAAAAAATGCGAAAAGCGTTTCGCTGGAATAGAGATAGCGGTATGGTAATTATTTCTGTTTGTTTTCTTGTACTATTCGGGCTTTGAAATAATACGAAACGATTACAATAAATTTATAATGTAAAAAAGACGAAATATCTACATACTATACATCAATTAATAAAATAGCAACGATTAATATTTATGAACGTAACGAATACGGAAAAAAATGGAAACAAGCCTAACAATTAGTAAGGCCAATTAGCATAGTAACTTTAATATATTATCCCCGATTCACTCTGTAGGTATGTTTCCCATTAGCTGCTAACAAATGAAAGTACACTAATTAGCAGTAAAGGTCACTGCTATAGAAAAACGTGCACCAGCACCAAAAAACGGGCAACTATTTCCTGTGCTACCTTATACTTCATTAATTAGGTTAATTCAACTATGACTAATAGGTTAATAAAGTTGTGCTTTATTACACTTTATAATTTCGAAAAAAAAGGGAACGCTATGAAATGTATACCTACATCAATTAAAACAGAAATGTTCATTTAGAATCATCGGTTCTTGCGACGACATTCTTCAGGCTGTACGTCAAGTCGGCACGACTCAATTAACTATTGCGAAATTTCTCTTGTAACGAAGTTAATAGCAGCATTTTTCCTACTATATAGATTTCAAAGGTGTAGCGACATCGAAAATCTATCGTTACATCAAGAAAACGAATGTTATTTTATAGTAAGCGCAATTTTAACACGCAGTGTTTGCGTTGTTTGCTGAACACCGATATTTTTTCAGGCCCGCGCGTTTTATATTCAATATCGAGTCCGGCAAACGTTCATTGATAAACAGCATTAATTCGAGAAGGAAAAAAACCGTAGAAAACGAGCAGCTAGGCGCGATCACGTACGAATTACAATAACAAAATAAACATAACAGTCAAAAGTTGAGAAAATAATGCGGCATTAAATCATTATTTTAATTGAAAGTGTCAAACAGCGTTAATATGTTTTGGAAATTTGAATAATAGGTCAGTAAATGTTGTGTTTACAAACCAATAAAATATAAAAATTATCTTAATAGCCGCTTTTAGCTGTGTGGAGATTATTGTTCTCCCAGTGAACGATATTTTCGATTCGTTCATTCATTCTGTATGTGTCAACAATGCCTTGCCGTACACAAGTGCAGTGTCGTTTACGTGCCTTTAATAAACCGGGTCTTTTTAGAATTATTCCAAACAATTTCACTTTCTTATATTGAATGATCATTTAAGAAATATTTCTTGCGATACGAATTTGTATACTAGGCTCTTTATTGCAATAGGCAAAATAGGAGAGACCCAAACTTTTTAAACCCCTTTAAAGATGCCCCTGTAATGTGCTAATCTTTTTACAGTACTATATCCTAATAATAATTGTGATTTTAACACTGACTGGCACATTTTAATTACAGAGCACATTGCACGTTTAGTTGAACTAAATGAACGACTTTTAACGCCTTTTTAGTTTCGTATTTTTCCGTTGGATTCGCGCCGCTGTTTACGATGTCAATAAAGGCCTACCACTATGCACGGTTGCTAACGTCTTATCGATGAAATGACTAAAATAAAACGCCGGGGTCAATACGAATACGTTTAGTTTATTTTTATTGTACACCATGTTTTGGTTTTAATTCGGTATTGTCGCCGTTCGGTTGTAATTTATTCAGCCGGAATTCCATTTATTCCGGCTGCTTTCGTAAAAATAGGTGAAATAATATTTCGAAACGCGCCCGCGAGGCGAATTCGCTTCCTCTCAACGCACGCTAGTTTATTTTTTATAATAATGACATTACTTCTTCAAATATTAACAGAACACCTGTTAAACAGTGTTAAACACTCAATATTTGTCAGTAAGACAACAATTACTTGAGACAACAACGCGGAGCCAAAAAAACTAGACTGGCCACTGCGGTAGTCCCATCAATATTTAAACACTTTGGCCTCTTATTTATTCAAAGGTGCGAGAACGTTTCGTATACGCGCAACGTTGCCTATTCATTAGTTTCAACGAGATTTAAAACGAATTACAAAAAAAGAACCTCGACAAATCTCGAGGAACAGGACCATATGGTTTTACTTAAGCGAATCGGCCACAAAAAACGATTGCTGGATGTAATTTGGGGGTTTGTTAACGAGACAACATAGTCGTATATTCGCACTAAATACTTCATATATTATATCAGATATTATACTATCTATTGTATAGTAAATTTTGGTAAGGAAAATTTGTAAGTTGGTAATAGATTTACGTGAGTTACGCCACTGTACACAGACATCACATTTGAACAAAAACATAAGCCCCTGTTATCCATTTGGGGAATTCGTTGTGTGTGCGTTCGGCTTTTTGTGAGTAAATTAATATCTGAGGCACAGATGAGGCCTTATTCTCCGAGCATATGGGTCCTCTAGGTCAATACGGCTCTACGGTTGGTATATATTTTCTTTTTCGGAGATATTTTTAAAGTTTGTCAGACCTCCAGACGAGCATCATGTGCTTGCGGGGATTTCAGAAGGATTTAAAACCGTTCCAAGCTAAACAGAGAATTTTGAACGAATAACAATTCGGGGAAAATTTAGGTTGTTTACAGAGAACGCCTTCGCGTATATAGCACAAATTTCTTAAAATTAGATTGTGTATACAAGGTGTTCCAGAAATGCTACTACATTAGCATCATTATCATTAGCATTGCTATTATTATTTCATAGATTTCACCTCAAAGTAGCTATCTAATCTAATATTTTCTAAAAAAAACACCTATCTTGTAGTTTACCATCAATTAAAAGTTATCAGAATTTTTCAATTAAATTAATCCATTTTATAAATTCCAATTCATAAATTTTTCCTACTTAATCCAGAAAAAATAAAACGAGGCAGACACTTATGTTCCTCCTCCTCGTGTCCCGTTCGCCGGACATTAACTACTTTTATGAAGTACTAAACACTTTTTGGTATGACTATATTTGATATTAAAGCAATAAAAGTTGTATAAAAATCAAGATGATAGACCCATAAAGTTTACGACAGATAACAGGGGCACATAATTGATTCTCTCTTTAAAGCCGTCTCGTTTCGAAACGGAGCGGAGCTGCATATTCTATTTTAGAGACATATTAAAATTCGAAAGTGGGGCAATTTTTGTAACAATTTCGGGAATGGGTTCGCCTCTCGAATGTGCTTGTTCGTTGGTCGTAAAAGAAATATAAAATTTGGATAGTGAGTCGTATAAAAATTTATGGCTGTTACGGGAGTGTTTCTTTTTTACTTTCGTTTCTTTTAAACGTTGACAAAATACCAACGTTTGCTCGAGGTAATGGAGATATTGGGCAGAAGTTAATACGAAAAAATAATAAAAATTAGCCGGTATTTATAAAATATTCCGTTGTTCTTCCAGTGCTAAAACACATAATGCGGCGTGCAGTTAGGCATTAATTCCCATCACGTTTCCGTAATATAATGTTTTTTAATAAGTCGTTATCTATAGATTGATCACGTATTAATAATACTGCTGTATTACAATAAAGATATGCAAGCATGAATAGTTAAATTTTTATCTTTTCGTTATTATTTATATTTATATTATAAAAAAATCGTTATTGTGTGATACATTTTATTGTACGCATAGGTGACGGGTTATTTGATGTATCCGAAGACGCTTCTTTACAAAATTATCGCGAAAAAAAGCGATTTTTTTCAATGTTCATCGTTTTCAATCAGCTGTTCCCAGTCCACCGTTTATTCAAAGGCAATAAAACAAACGAATACCGCTGCATAAATGCCAATGACAGTTTATTGATGGCCGTAATTTATAGTCTCCATATAATAAAATGTTTTAAAAAGCGCTCACCTGAACCCAACGGTTTGTGTGCCATTATCGATCTGGTTCGATAAAAGTTTACTTTATCGTAAATACATACATACATACCGCTCGCACTTTCGGGTTTCGATTTTCCAGCGCAATTTCGAAACATTCATCGGGCATAAATTTGTCTTCTTCTCGCCCGCGTATGCTCACACAGCGACCCGCAATAAATCGAATTCGTTTTTGTTTCAGACATCCCCTATTTCCTTTATTGGCTTTAATTTTCGAAAAATGCGAATTAGCGACGTGTACACCCCGAGAGCCCGGAGTGGCGGGCGGAGATGTCTGTTCCTCGGAGTCCTTTAACGAAGACATAGCCGTATTTTCAAAACAGGTAAGTCCAATTTTATTTCATTTATCATATACATCTCGCATAACTCAATTTATAGGAAACAGAGCAATTATTTATACACTAACAAAAAATATTGAAGCTGTACAAAATAGTATCTACTGCAAATTGTTTTTTTTTAAATTAGCTTCATATAATGAATCAGATTAAACCGTATGTAGGAATTTTTCGCGAAACATTATCACTCCTCTGGCGATCGTTAAAACATACTAAAGGAACCCATCATTAGCACAATAAACGAAATAATTCCGATGGATCGTCCGCGATGGTGAACTAATAAAGATAGTGTAAGTGCGTCCGTTCGGTCGATTTTTTTGCCAATTAAAAACGTCTTGTTTAAATTAATGTCAATGCTTGTAGCCGTTTTTACGACCTCACCCGAGAACACATAAAAAATATAAATTGTGCGTGCAGTTGCCACCGAAGTCGCGTTCAGGTAGATTTTTTAATTACTTTTTAATCTGCATAAAACGTTTGCAAATACGGCCGTTTTCATAGTTGCACAAGTTCGTTCGAAATTCTTTCGCTGCATTTTTTAAACCCAATAAGGGTAGATCGATGCGTATATGTGGGTTTCGTAATTCACAAAAGCGTACCCTGTTATTATTACAATCCGATAGCAATTAAAAGCATGATTAAAATACCGAAAGCTTGTTGAACAGAGATTATAGACCCTTGAGGTAAGAAAAATTCCAAGGGTTTAATCACCTATCAATCACCCGGCATTCCTCACGAAATTACAATCTTATAACAACTTAAACATCATAAACAAGCGAACGTAATAATTCAATTCAACTTCCGGCAGAGTTTTCGAAAAACCGCAATCGAAATCGAGGGGATTTCGCCGGGCCGGGAAGCGTTGCTCATTTACCTGCACGGGACTTCTAGTCCCTTTAAACCTTTCAGATTAAGCGAAGCCATTCGCCTTTAACAATCGCCACAATACTTACCACCTATGTGGAGATTAAGCATTGCTCGATGCTCTTTTCCCGGCGTCCCCACGGGACGCCGAAAAGCGCAGGCCAAAAAATTACAAACAATAAGTGCATAGCCGGTTATCGGGCTCGCATCTATGCACAAAAGATCGCGACGGGGGTACGCATGCACAAAGAGTACAACTTTAACAGATTTAGCCGGTATAGGTTTTCGCAGAGGCGTAGGAAATCGAGCGTAGCCCTTTTACTATTCGGACAAAATCGATTCGAATCTTGATTTCTACAATTGTTGAGGTAATGCGATTTTGTACGAGTCACCTTATACCGACTTCTTCGCCCTGACTATCGCAAGTGCTTAAAATTGTAGTGGTAATTAGAAGGCGTAATCCGCGTTTTGATTCGACGCGTCCGGTGAATAAAATCCGCTAATAAACGTCGATGAAAGGCCAGAAGAAGCGCGCACATAACTCACAATCGCCAAGAGTGTATACGGTTTCGTTAAAACAGTAGTTTCGTGAAGAATCCCGGTACGGAGACGGCAGTAACATTACCGCGAAAACATCTAATGCTCTGTAAAGATTTTGTAATTGAAATAATGGCGGCCATAAACATTCCGAACATACATAAAACCATTTATGAGATGCGATCGTTTGCTCGTCCGTTTCGAAAATTCAATGCGCTTTTAGTATTCTCCTTATTTATCCGGCCAAGCACTTACCTGTACCGTTGGAATTCTTGTGCAGGTGTAGCTCTATAAGCTGCGAAATTAACTGGATAGCCTGGCATTTCCGATTGTGCAATTCTGGACGGGGCCAACTCGACATCTATAACAATATCCTCAATGCTTAATTACTGTACAGAGTGTACACCCTTTTATTATACCATGTATAAACAAACAGTAATAAGGTAAATCTTTCTTTTAATCGATTGTCACTCATTGATATTTCACATTAACTGGATAATAACGTATGTAATTCGTATTAGAAATGCGGGTTTATCGTAATAGAAAAAGATTAATCTGTTTTCCGAATGTTTTGACAAACAATCGGATCGCTTCGAGCCCGCCGAGTGTTAACAGTCTGCACTTCCCGCTATGAAAAATGATAATTCCGCCGAAAAAAACGGACAGATAAAGCCCCTCCAGTGGAATCAGATACATAACGCACAATGGTGAATAGGCCGTAATTTGGAGCTATTCAGGAGATAGCCCGAAAATAGTGACAGATGTAAAAAATTGGTCTTTTGAAGTTCAGGTGACTTTGGGGCATTGTCATGTAGATGATGCTAGAATTGTCAGTCACATCGATCATTTAGAAATGCAACTGATGCGTGAAGTTGGTTGCGATGCGAAATGGGAATGTGTGTACCTACTATTCGCAGCTAAAAGTTACCCTTCGCATCTATTGGACGCGCACCAGTGGCGTAGATTCCAAAATTATCTATCCGAAACGATGAACTTCCATATAATTGAAATTCGGCTGAACGTTTCGTTTTCCAGCGCGAATAAATTAAAAAAAACAAGTTGTAGAACCCTCTAAATCCTATCAACGAATGACAGATGATAATGAAAAGTCAGTATATTCTGAAATTTTACCTGAGCCGGATATCGACCGGCCAACTGGCCTCGTGCTTTGGGCACCCATTTGATTTATAGCTTTACAGCTTGTGCTCTAAAATGATAAATCCTCCAACTTTGTAATCTACAGTTAAATATAGACATTAGTAGAATGAAATAACAATTTGTTAAACGGAATTTCCTAACTCGTTGTTTAGCTGAAAAAGTAGGAAATTAAACGGGAGAATTATATAAAAATTCAAAACGCCACTTACATACCTATAAATTTTCTCTAATAACGAATTGTGTAATAATTACGATTGACATATTTCCGTGCAATTATTTTTGCGTTTATCGTCGCGTTTTAGATATTCGAACGAACGATCGGTCGCGTTTAGTTTAATCAAGCAATTGTAAAAATCGAGCGATATTTTCTTTGCGGACGGCGCGCAGAATTCAATCCGGTCGGTTTTTCTACCAACTCGGCCATTAAAGTTATTTATATAAAATGTTGAACTTAAGTAGATTTTTTCTCCTGTCGTTCGGCACCGTATTGCTCGATTAGCGGCGCGCTTCTCATTCCTAGCTCGCAAAGGAGAACCTTCTGATCTTCAAAATAAGAAAACGCTGCCCGGACGTGCCGCAGAACCGTACTGAAAATTTCTTTTCCCCCTTTGTTTCCTCTTATCATTTATCTATTTCTATAACAGTTAGGTAGGTAACTAGCGCAATTTTTCACTAACATCCCCTCTGTAGAACTCATAAAAATTTGCTTCTTTAGCGCTAAATACTCTAGAAATAAGAATCAGACACGAACATAACGAATTTATTAAAATCGGAACAAATTCATGGAAATGGAAATAAGGTGATTTATTTTTTAATTATCGGAAACAGAAAGGTAACATCGACATTATATTTATGATTGATTAGTTGGGTTGGTGCGGTTCTGTTCGAGATCGTGGTCGGCATGGGAACAGAACACCTACTGTTAATCTTTTGAACACGGATGACATATCTTAGAGGATTTGGCTTTTTTCGATGTGTTTTTTTCTTCTTGCGTCAACGTTTCTCTCTGGCTTAAAATATTCCCGTGGACATTTGCATATTCGTATTGGAGGTTTCTACAAATAAAATTTCGATATTTGTTTTTTTTTATTTGGAAATTTACATATTTATGTTTGCTGATAATGAGGAGAGATATAATGATATTCAAATTAGGTGCCTTCGCGCTTGATTAATTGTTGTTTTTTTTTGCGCCCGTATTGAGCTTTTCGCTAAAAAATATCGTGTTTGTCGTTAAAATTTTATTTATCCGTTTACAAATAGTGACATAACCGCAATTTTTACATCAACATAATTATGTGCGTATTAATACCACAACAATAATTTTAACGACTAAAATCTTTTAGTTTATTTTTTAAACAACTAATTAGTTGGTGTAGTAGGTAAAGAAAATAATCGAAAAACAGTTATTATTGCCGTAATACTCAACTCAAGCGTTATTTTGATAAGAAATTACAAGACAAATATTATTATCATACGATTGAATTTACAAGACTACTTCAAACGCTTTTGTGTAGTAAAATTTCCAACTCTTGACCCTTAATGATTTTCAATATCTAAATACATCAATCAATTTAAATTCATATTTCGAGTTATTTTAATTAGTACGTAGGCATCGGCATAATGATTTTTAAAATGTTGTTGTGGTTTTAATTGGTTAAAAATGCATGAATGAATTTTCAGCGCTTTAAAATTCTGTAAAAAACATGTAAAGATATAGACAACGTCTGTCAACTCTTTTTACGACATATTAACCGACGATACTTAACTTTATTGCACAAATCCCGTCATTTTTTCAAATTTATGACATTATAAATCACTGGCACAGACAGTAAAACTCAAAACTGAGAACATAGACAGGGCTATTTATAAAAGAGTACCTCTCTCTAGTCAATATAGAAGGGTATTTCTAAAAATATCGACCCCTTCGGTGGGCGTAACTTAAGCGGAATACTTTTAGTTTAACTTTCTTTAAAATCGATGACTTTTCAGAAGATATTCCTTAGACAGATGTATTTCTGGGAAAAAGGGCCTGCCACGGGTAGTCGACCTTGCATTTCTAAACCGGCGATTTCTATTTCTACCCTTAACTTCGTATTCGAGTCACAAGTCACTGGCACTCATAGCATCTAAATTCACTACATAATTAACTATTAGATTTTATGCAACCAAAACAATACTATAACTGTTATTAATTAGGTAGTTTTTTTACTGGATTAAAATGGTGTAGTCTGAGATTATGCTAATAAAACTATAAATACGTTTTTTTGGAATTCGAACTTGTAACTAAAGTGCTTATCTGACACAATAAATTCACAATTGTTGTAAGTAGTATGTTTTTTATTTAATATGAAGGGAACCATAAAAACGTTATAAATTATCATTTTTTAAATATCTCAGATTATAGAAATAGTTATTTCTCTATCTATTTA